CGCTCTTAAACAGCTAGCTCTTCCCTGATCTACAAATGTCTCTTTTACTTTTTGCTTCCCTCTTTTGTGACTGTGATCGGTTTCTGCTCTGTGGACGTGTTTGCTGGGAACTACAAAGTAATGAAACTGATTTTCCTTAAAGGAGACCAAAGATTTCAATTTGGGTGCCCCAGCATTGCCTGACTAAAGAACTCTCATCAGTCTCCTGTCTACAAGCGCCTACCTTTATTTCCCAGGTGCTGGACTGTGAGGATGGAGAATATTGGATCTGAAGTTTGCTGAGGTAGACTAGTGGCTGGCATTGGTGGCAGTCTGGGTTGTAATCATTCTCTGCAGCAAGAGAATTCCAAGGATAATGCCATCTTCCACACACCCTCCTGGCCTTCTGACATCCTTATGTGAGGTCAATTTTTTAGCAGTACTGGAAGTAGTTAAGGGAGCCCTGGGGCATTCTTAAGCTACATTCACGTCTCCTGCCTTAAAACAGAAAAGGTCAGGAGAAATCTTTTAAAATAATTATTAATGGACAGCAACAGAAAAAGGGAGGGGAGGAAGAAACCTATCCCTCACTGATGCCTGGAGCCTGCTTCAGTGTGGAACAGGAAATGCATTGCTACAACTAGCTCATGGGATGCGCATGGGGAACTCCAACGTGTTTTTCATAACTGGAGGGCAATGACCTTGCCTCTTATTTTTCATTTGCTTAAGGGATAGATTTAGCTCTGATTCCCAGCTGGTGGAAAGCACAGGAAGGCTTCTGCCAACAAAAGGTGCTTTGTGAATGAGACTAGAGAGGTAATGCTGGGTGGTCTCTACTCACTCTTTCACAGGAGAGATTAACAATATGACTATCAAGAGCTTGTTAATGAAGGTTAAAGAGTCATGTGTGTAAGTGAAAGGTCTAGAGAGATTTCTGCTCCAGCAAACAAGACATGTCTATAGCTATTGACTTTTTGGAGAGGAGGAAAATTACCCTGGTGTTACTTGGTTAAAGGTGCCTGTGGAATCCAGACTTTTTGGTAAATATTTAGTTAAGCTGGAAAAGCATTGAGTTTAATCTCATGATGCTCCAGATCAGCATGTTCCCAGCCAGCTCTGCACGTGCCAGTCTTGATTAGTTCCATGCTGCAGCATTAAGTAGATTGCTAGAGGGCTACACAAAGCTGTTTGTCTTTGGATCTGAACACAAGATTCATAGAACTCTGTCTTAAGCTAGGTGTTTATGGCATAATGCAGTTAAGAGCTAGCTCGGGTACCAGAAGCAGTATAGATACATTAGTGTGGTGGTTTACCGGTGGTAATCTACCCTGCTTCTCAACAATGCTAATTATCAGGGAATGGTGTGTTCTTGTTAGGGAACAGGAAATGTCTGAGAAAACCAGTCCAGGTAGTTTTGTGATGGGACTGGATTACTGAGAGACAGTAGCAACACCTTGCTCTACAAGGTGAAGAGTAGATTAGGATAGGCACTTTGTGCTCAGCTATGAGTGGTAAACTTGGAACTGCCTCACATGCATCCCATATGACAAGCCACCTCTCTTAACTCCTTCAGCCCTGCTTCTTTCCTGAATCCTCCTCCAATGAATTCATCTCCATTCCCTTTGCATCTTCTTGCTATCCTGTCTGTATAGCTTTACAGGAATTCATCTGCCTTTTAGTTTGAGAGAAAAAAAAAAAGACTCGGTTGTGATTATTTTTTATTCTGATATTACTGTTTGATTTGACATGTGATGAAAGCAGATGTTAATTCTCCTTCCTCCTCCTCTTCGTGTGGTCACTGCCTTGCGCTCAAGTTGATGAGCCATTATGTTTCCTGTGCATGACATCTTTAAAAAAAAAAAAAAAAAAAAGTTCCAAACCTTTCTTTTGTGCTTCATTGGACTTGAAACAGCAAGACTGCTCCCCACAGTGCTCTGGGAGCTTTCTAGAAGAGGAGTGGGGATCTCTGAATGTTTCTCGCTGCCTGGGGCAGGAGTTTGGAGGACTTTCCACATCATTTCTATGGAGGGAAGCCTCTGCTTCTTAATACAGTCCTTTTTCTTTCCCAGACTTATGCTCCCAGGCACTCCCTACTATCACTGGGACACCAATAATAGAGGCCAGGGTCAAGCAGCAGGAAAACTACTGTTGTAATACCTTGGGGCAGGGGTAGGCAACGTTTTTTGGCCAGCGTGCTGAAAAAAACACAATGTCTACCTTGGAAGGTGCTGGAGTGCCGACATGCCAGAAAAACAAAATGAGGGCAGGGGGTACATGGCAGGATGCACAGCATATTAGTATAACTAATAATCATAAATGTTGCCTTTTTTATGGTAAATACCAGATTTTCAAAAACTTGTAACCCTGGTGTCAATAAATAAAACTTCAGTACGTTGTCACTCTGGGTCTCTCACACTGCACTCCTGGCCCTGCTGCCCTCCCCTGGGCCCTCCAGAGCGCAGCATGTGCGACCCGGAGCGGCAGCACACAGAAGGGCTGCACAAAGAAGCTGCCTGCCACTGCACGCTCCACGCTGCCCTGGTCACACTTCCCCTGTGTGCACAGGGGCAGTGCAGGCAGCAGCACAGAATTGTGCCCCTCACTGCTGCCCCCACGTATAGGGGAAGTGTGGCCAAAGCAACAGGCAGGTTTTGTGTGCCTCCCCAGTGTCCTGCCACGCCAGGTTCCACACACTGCTCTGCACTGGCAGCAGCTGCCTAGAGCCCAGGCTGGTGGTTGAGTGCTGAGCAAAATGGCCTTGCGTGCCATGCTTGGCACGTGTGCCGGGGGTTGCTGACCCCTGCCTTAGAGAGACAAATCAACACTTTCTTAGTATGAATAGATAGGAGCTGTACATTACAAATTGTCCTGCCATGGCAGTTAGAAAGCAAACAGCTAGCTTGTGCTCTCCCTCTCCTTAGCTGCTGTCTTGATTTGAGCGCAATGGTAGGACTCCATCATTGGAAATCTCTGTCGCTGCTCCTCAGTGAGGCTCTGTGGTCATTCTTGAACTTTGAAGCATGTTTATCCATGACGTTTCTTCTCCCCCATGATGGGTTGGTGCTGGAGACCTTATTAAGCTACTGTGTCCTGTTCATGACTTACATTGCAGATTCTGATATTTGATGTCTGTCTCCCAGGGATTTTTTTTTTTTTTTTTTTTTTACCAACTTGTGCTTTACATGTTGTTTTAAAAAGCACTTTTTCAGGGCTGCTCTTGAAAATACCTGTTTCTATTATTCTCTGTTCATAAGTGTGAACAGCCTCCCTCCACAGCAGCTGTCATTATACAGGGGCTGCAGGCTTATGATCCTGAGAAGAGTTCAGAGTACAGATCCCATATGCATTCATGGGGTGTAGGTGACAGGTCATTTAAGCCACGCCTAGATGTGTGTGGACCTTTGATTCCCTGAAGACATATAGCAGCAGTGCATCTTCTACTGATACTAGTTGTGCCTGGGGAATGCCTTTGCCACGGACGCTCTGGCACACAGCAAGTTACCCCAGGTAGGGTAGGGGAGGCTGGGGCCAGCACTGGGGTCCTCCCGGGGCTGCAGCACTGGCCATCCTGCCATGCGGTGCCTGGCTGGCAGTGTTGTGTGGCTCTGGCCAGCCAGGCTCCAGCCTTGGGTGGCATGCTCCCACCACGTGCACTGCTCCACATTTTTTTCTGTGGGTTTTTTGACCCCTGTATATTCAGGGGTCAACCACCCCCCCTGCACTGCTCCCTTGCAGTGCAGAGAACAACTGAATGTGCAGTATGTGGCACCGCAGGTGTGTCCTGGTGAGCGCCATTCTTATCTGGACATGGCTGTAGAGGCTGTTATAAATTTAGTTTAAGCATTCTTGGTTAGTAAATAGTAAGCACTTTTGTGATTGAGAATGGAGTTGAGAAAGTTAAATAAAGATCTTTCCTTACAACAATTTTGAAAGTCTTCTGTTTGCCCCCATTTCCCTTTTTGCACTGCATGAGATCTCAAAATAGCAAATCTTAATACAACAATCCTTCTTATATCCTCTCACCCATGTCTAGTTGGTCTAAAGGGCTGGTTTGTGAATATACATGTCCCTGATTCCACAGTAACTACCTCCAGTAAACAAAACCAAAAATATAAAGTAAGAATCCTTTCCACTTTATTAAAAACAAAACAAACCCAACAACCCCAAAACTTAGTCACTTCAACTTTTCCAACAAAAAGTCTGTGGGAAGCTATCTGTCAGAAACACAAAGCACATCCAGCTTCTGAAAAGCCTAATTGTTGCTTGTACAGAGAGTATTTTCTCTCCCTATTCTTTTCCTGTCATAAAAATATCTTCAGGTCCAAAATCCAATAATCCTCCTACAGTGAAAAGTGGTTCCCACCCCCTTGCTTTAGCTCCCACTTTCTGGGATTTTAACTTCGGTACTGGAAGTTTTTCTGTTTCCTGAAGTTGACAAAAGTGCAGATCCCAGTTCCTACACCAGATCCTTTCAGAAACCTTCCAATAATCCTTGAGAGATGGACTGGAAGAGTTATCACTAGTGAATAGGATTTTTCTTTGCATTAGCCAAAATACAACATGTTTGGGGTACATGGGGAATAAGCTGG